CACTGATCAGAGGCTGATTCCAGGAATCCCGGGGCAGAGCAACTCTGCCTCCGGCTTCCTGTAGTCAGCCGCTGGTCAGTTTCAGCAGCAGCTGAATCTGGACGCCAGTTCCGACTTACATACAGATTCAACTTAAGAACAAACCTACAGTCCCTATCTTGTACGTAACCCGGGGACTGCCTGTAGTTCACTTTGGAGCAATCTGTTTGTTTCCTGATTTGCCATTGCATAATTACAACACATCTGTTGCTCTGCCAGTTTATACTTAAAGACAAAGGGAGAACCTGAAGCGACGAAACCAAAACATAGGCACATACTTTAACATGCATTTTGTGCTCTGTAGATCTACCAAGATTGTAAACTGTTGATATTTTGAAAGATCTAAATCTGAGATTTTTTTTCTAGACTCTGTAGTAGAAGTCTAAATTGCCTTTTTAAAAATGAGTAGAAGTTAGTATACAAAGTGATGAACGGCAGTTTTTTAAATAATCAGGCTTCAGATATTTTAAGTACTGACTAATTTCAGCTGTGCTTGTGACTATTAGATCTCACAGAGCTGCTGAACTACTTGGTCATTTCTCTGTCTTAATTGTTCATTTAGTATCAATTTTGACTAAGTTCTGTTGAAAATAAATTTAAAAACCTATATAATCTAAGATGTCTAGGAACACTGGAAGTTTTGTTGAGTAGGGATGTTAGAGTGTAACAGTTTAACGGATAAGCCCGTGTTTATTGGTTAATGATGTCAGACTCAGCTGGCTCCTGGAGAGGAGACTTCCCAGTGGCAAAGGAAGCCACCTCCCTGGGAGCCAGGCTGACAGGCCCTGCTCCTGGGAAGGTTTCACAGGTGGCTAAGCTTTATACTGCAGAGCCTGCAGCTTGTAACCAATGAGATTTTCAGCAGTTACATGGTTACCTGTTTTAATCATATTTTAACATCCCTAGTCCAGATTAGGGATGTAAAGGGTAATTGATTACCTGGTAAGCATTGTCCTACTGCCATATTTACTGGTGTAACCAGTTAACTGGTGTTCCAGCCCAGTCGGGCTTGCTGTGCTGCAGGTAGGGGGCTGTTCTAGTGGCTCCCTGCCCACTACACAGTGGGCCGGTTAATGGTTAAATGTATAGTTCTCTGGTTAACATATTAAACCGGATTTTTACATCCTTATTGTTGAGGGACCTAAAGTTTTCACTGCTCCTTCCTTAAGTTGAGACATCAAAAATTAGTCCTATTAATGAACCCTGTTCAGGGAGTAATGTTGGATTTCGTTAATCATAAAACAAATCTGATGTATAATCAATTTCAAATCTTATGAGTTTGGCACTTTAGGAATGTTTTTATTAATGTGAGAGAATACAATTTTAAGTGTTTCAGTGAGAACAACACAGGACATGTACAGATAGATCTTGTAGTGTGGTTACTGAGTAACAATTCTTTTAGAGCGTGCCTACACAGCAGGGCGTAACTCGAAATAAGATACATAAATTGAGCTATGTCAATTGCATAGCTGATTTTGAAATAGCTTATTTCAAAATTGGGAGCATCTACAGAGCACTAATTTTGAAATAGAGCACTCTTCCTCCAACTTCCCTTACTCCTCTTACAGTGAGGGTTACAGGAGTACGAGTAAGAAGTCCTTCAGCTTGACAGTATTTTGACATTATTTTGAAATAACTGCCTGCTGTGTGGAGGTGGACTAAGTTATTTCAAAGTAATGCTAGTCATTTTGAAATAATGTTGCTGTGTAGATGTCCTTATAAAAACAGAAAATTTAGGTTTATTGTCAGGATATTTTTCTTGATTGTTCTCAATATAAGTGGTTCAAACCTTTAACTTGTTACTTTCTAAAACTTAGCATAAGGAAGTTTAACAAATCTGCACTGGACACATGAAAGATGGGACTAGTTGGTCTTCTCACCTAGAAATTCTGTGATCCTTTTAACCCTGATGCTGATCACTGTATGTTTACAGCTCCTTTGTTTTCATCATGGTGAGATCCAGAGACACTTATTTAATTTAGACAGCAACTCTTCCTACATTAGGGGAACCTTTATCCCAGAACTTTGTAATTGTAGTTTTGCTGTAGTACTTATGGACTTGATTTGTGGACTGAGAACTAAAGGATCAATTGCTGAATCAAAAGGTAAAGCTATGCTCATAGCTTTCTTTAGAATTTATTGAGCTATTTTTATAAGCCTATTCAATTGTAATGAACTATGTGCTATGACTGTTTTTAGAGGAACTCAAGATAAGACAACCTTAAATATCACACACACACCTATTTCCAAATATTAGAAAAGGGTGAAGTGAAAAGAAATATCTGTTTTTATTAGCATATAGTATTTTGCAAAACCTATGAATGCATAATTGTGATGTGTTTAAATCATTGTGGATTTTGTTCAATAAACTTAAACCAATAAAAGAAGCTTGGGCATCTTTACCCATTTTTCTAATCTCATGTGTATATATTCTTATTCATGTTGAGAGGATTAATTTTTGTCTTTGCAGAGAATGTACTCTTAAGTAACTTAGAACAGTATATTTCTAGAATAGATGCTGAGGTGCTCACACTGTCCACTGAGGTGCTTTGATTTATTGACAATAGAATCAAGATGATCTCATACTGAGATATAATGAAATCAAGACCAAAAAAGCCTAAAGTTAACTTTATAACTGAAAAATGCAGGACTTAAAGAAAGATCTGTCCCAGCACAGTCAACACCAGCAGAATCTGAGGAGTCCATTCAACCTGCCGAGCAGTCATTCGTTACTTCAGGTAAGGTGTCTGCTAAATTGCACATGAAAACATAAGGCACACAGTTCACTTGAATTATGGTTTGTGTCTGTTGATGTAATGCATGACCTTTCATTACAGATTAAAAAAAGTGTTCTTTCTGTTCCCAGCAATTTGCCAATTATCTTAATTTCAGTTTACTGTATTAATTTAGTCAGACTATTCGGCAATCACTAAATACTCAGCACTGATGTTCAGCACTAAATATTACACCTATTCAGTTTTTCTTGGCTCAGACAAATTCTTCAGGTTGAGCAACTGTGGGCTAGGCTCTGGACAAGGACTTCCTTTCTGAAAAATTAATCCATTTTATGAGTAATATTCTAATCTTTTGAGAAGCTTAAATTGCTCAGCTTGACATGAATTTGTTGTATATGCTCAGTATGTATAAAACTGAAGAACCAGATGGTATTGAAGGCTTATTGGTTTTACTAAGACTTATTAGTTAATATTTTGTTTACCTTTTGTTATGTTTAAATTTCAAATTCAGAATAAAATTCATGGAAAGATTAATAAATTAGTATTTTCTTTCCATATCTCATCTTTAAATATATAGGTAGGGGTGTGTGTGTGTGTGTGTATCTTTATAGATACACACTTCATAATATGAAATTATCTTCAGTTGATCGAGCACTGTATTTTTCTGAAATTCTAAATTGAAATCCCTGGACTCATCTTTCTGGAACTTAAAATGATCTGATGACTTGAAAATGCTCAACCTTTATCCAGACTCTGTGTGCTGTAAGAAGAAATAGTATCTAGAGTAACAATATGTGCCAAATAATGAAAGCGTAGGGAGATGCTATTGTGCATACAGGTGTTCATAACTTGCTATCGTCATTAAAATTGGGTATTCTTGTATTCACCTTGTAGTTGAGCACAAAGTGGTGAGGTGCATCTTGGATGTTTTTGGTTTAGCCTGTGCACAGTAAGTGACTTAGGTGTATATGCACATATGCAGTTGCCCATACCTAACTGTGGTAATCCGTTTGTGTATCCATCACATGGAAGATGAGATGATAAAGGAAGCAAAAAATAATATTGGAAAATATTGTGTTTTCACAGTTATGGAGCTGTAGAATTGCTGCAATAAGAACATAAGAACGGCCGTACTGGGTCAGACCAACGGTCCATCTAGCCCAGTATCCTGTCTACCGACAGTGGCCAGCACCAGGTGCCCCAGAGAGGGTGGACCGAAGACAATGATCAAGCGATTTGTCTCCTGCCATCCCTCTCCAGCCTCTGACAAACAGAGGCCAGGGACACCATTTTATCCCCTGGCTAATAGCCTTTTATGGACCTAATGAGAGCCAATTAGCTGAAACAATTTTTAATATAGATGGGGGGGATTGGGGAGAAGGGAGAGAGAGTGGAACAAAGGTTTTACCATAAGTAAATGGGTCAGAAATAGGACAGTTGTGTAAAAACATCAAGTACTTGGAGGTCTTAACATTGGAGAAATTGACACCACTTGCCTGTTATTTTTACAAAAAAACCCACCTCATTATCTTGGATAGTATTTTGCTGTTCTACAGCCTGACACACAAACACCATTGCCCATAAGGTAAGAGTGTTTTATTTAAGGGATTTAAAATAATGTAGGTTTTGAGAACCATTAAAAGTAATAATGAAGTGGGTAAGATACAGAGCTTTGCTGCTACTTAAAGCTGTTTTAAATTCTTTTCGGTGCCTGCCATTTTAATTTTTAAAAGGTATGTGGGATGTTTTGTTTTTGTTTTTTGTTGTGTATGTTGCAGTAAATGTTTCTGCATAGGTTGAAACCAGAGAGTTCTTGATAATTACTATATGGCAGCTGGAATGCAATTATCTGGAGTCAGTAGTGATACTGTCTCCTAAAAATATACAGAAAAGTTAATGATCTTGACATACTAAAGCATAAAACATAGGCTTTCAGTTAATCTTCAGTAAAACTGTGCTAGAAGCCTGGCAAATCTTTTGGAAGCTCTTCAGTTTTACTGTTTAAAAAACGCAACCTGTTTTATCTCACATCCTACCTCAATCCAGTTAATTAGAGGTGAAAGGAAAACTACGGTCAATTAATATGGTCAAGAAGTTGCTTTACTGAATATGTTCATCTTTTTACTACAAACTAATTTCAATAGTTTCAAAATATAAACTTTGTTGTGCTTTTCACCTATCTTTGACACATTTTATAACCCATTTAGAGCACAAGAAGGTTGAAGCAGAATTAGAAGAGGAAATCCAGTCCATTCTTCATGAAGCACTTCATTCACAGCCTGGTATGACTTCAGACAATAAGTCACTGGGGAATTTATAAATAGCATACAAAATTGAGAGAGATTCTTGATGATGGTGCACAGCATTTCCTGTCAACCCTATGTGAGAAGATAGCCAGCAAGTTGTTAACACCCTTGTGGTTTAGAGGACAAAGCCTGATGATTGGCTTGATTTTTTTTCAGAGGTTCTGAGTAACTTTGCTCCTATTGACCAGTCTACAAATAATGTTTCAAAATTTTGCATCTTGCCATAGCAAGGAAGGATAGGGATGGTGCCATGTCACAATGGTTCTCCCTCCTAGCTGTTTCTCCAGTGGATTGATGTACAGGCATTTTAGAAGTACATTCTAATAAGAGCCTACTGAATTACTGGACCTAAGAACTACTAGAGATAAATGGAATGTGGATTATTTGCTGGAACTTTAATTCAGGGGGTGCTAGGTATGGTGTTTACGTCTTCTTTACTTATTGTTAATCAGGAGAAAGGCATGAGGAAGGTACAGAGGAAGAATTAAATGATGACCAACTGGAGAAGGATGAAGTATATGAAGAAACTTTTGAAATTCCTACAACAGATGACCTTTATGTAGCATTAGAAGATGAAATGCCTGAAGCATCTGAAATACCCCCAGTTCAGGAAGGTATCTGAACCAATGAAAATGTTTCTAGTTGATTCTTGTAAAAATAATAAAATTATTATAATGGAAATTCCTAGTATAGCAAGAAAGAAATTCTTATTGATGTTTTTTCAGTCCTTTCTTTTGTGACAGGCTAGTTACTGCATTTGTGTACAAACCATTAACTGAGAACAGAACAGGTCAATATTCACAAGCAAATATGCTTCTGTTCACCTATCAGAGTGTACATTGCGATTTATTAGATGTATGTAATGCCTGCCTTTTAAGAGTGTGACTCAGTCTAAATTTCAGTATGATATAGATCAGTGACAAATGTTAAAATTAAACAAAAGCTATTCCCAAATATAAATATTTTGCAAATCAAAACAAAATTAGTGCATTTTAATTACTACCATATTAACTGATCCTATTGTCTTAAGCTTTTTTTAAACAAGATAATTTTTTGATTCCTTTAGATTTTTTTCATTCTACCTACACATTGTTTTATTCTTCAAATGGTCTTACTGTGGAAATTTACGGGCTGGGTTAAAGCCTATTTGAAATTTGACACAATAACTGAAAATAATTCTTTCGTTGTTGTTGCTCAGAAACTGACAGTCACAATCAGGTAGAAGAACACGGAGTACGTGAGCCTGAAGAAGTTGATATTCCCGGTACAAATACTTTTTTTTTTTCTTAATGGCACACTATTTTTTTTGCCTTACTGATGAAAATAAAAACAGAAAAGTAAAATAGATGTCACTAATCTAATGTTAAAACAAGGAAGGAGTCCTGTGGCACCTTAGCGACTAACAGATTTATCCGGGCATAAGCTTTCGTGGGGAAAAACCCATTTCATCATATGAATTGGAGTGGAAGTTACAGAAGCAGGGGTATAGATAGCAAGGAAGAAGTTGCTTATGTTAATAAAGCTAATTAAATCAGGGTAGAAATGGGTCATTCACAGCATTTGGTGTGGAGATGTGAATATCCAGAGAGGAAATTTTTTGTAATTCATTAACCACTTGAGATCCTTATTCAGTCCTAAGTTGATGGTGTTGAATTTGCAAATGAATTGCAGTTTAGCTGGCTCCTTTTGTAATCAGGTTTTGAAATTTTTGTTAAATTTCTCAGCTCATTCTCTTGTTGTCTTAGTCTGTCTATTCATAAAAAAACATGTTCTGTGTGGAATTTTACAATCCGACATACATGAATCGAATCACAGAACAGATGCAGTTGCAGGGCCTCAGTTTGTTCATTCAGTTGGTTTGTTGTCCCTATGTTCACAAACATGTTGGGGGTTGTATGCAGTGATTGAGAGCAGAATATGGCCACTCATGAAAATAACAGCTTATTTCATTAAGTATGAAAAAACAGCTTATTTCTTACTTTACAGATCCATATGAACATTTAATGGATGTAGAAGAGCTAGAAGTTTCAGGTTCGTACACTATTAAGTTCTTCCTATTACAAATTATTTGTATTTTTTATATACAGGCAGTCCCCGAGTTATGTGGATCCGACTTACGTCAGATCCGCAGTTAGGAACGGGGCTTTTCACGCCCCAGAGGACTCAAGTGGCGGGACGCCCAGATGCGCCGCGATCCCGCCACCCGCGTCCTCCGGGGCGAGAAAAGCTGCTCCACGTCTCCCTGGTCTGCTGGGGGGGGGGGGGGGGGCAGCAGACCAGGGAGACGCAGAGCAAAGCCGCGGAAGTTGCAGGCAGCGGGACAGCCGAGACGCGTGGTCGAAAAAACTGCCGCGTTCTTTCAATTTACTGGTAAAAAGTATTATGTTCCACCCAAGGGATCTGAATTTCTCTTTACTCACCCAATACCTAACTCTTTTGTGCTGGAGACTACACAACAGAAAACCAAGCAGCAACAATGTCAGTCCACTCCATTGGACCATGATTGCAGAAGACTTGACTCCTTTGTTCGCAAAATATGCGTGTCTTCCACTTTACAATTTTGCATTTCTAAATATGCGGCTCTATTAAGCAAATATGACTACAGAAATTACACCAAACTTAACGACTTTATCGCAGATATTCCTGAGGCTAAAAGACAACAGTACAAGCGTTAGTATCAGAGGGTCACACGATTGCCAGAACAGCATTGCAAGCTATTGCATGATTGATAGCAACAGCTGTAGTCATGAGAAGGGCTTCATGGTTTAACTCTACTCCCTTCCCCAGAGAGATCCAATCTACAGTAGAAGATCTTCCTTTTGACAGTCAGAAGTTGTTTGGAGCTAACACCGATGAAATTCTCCATTCCATTAAGGATTCCAGAGTTACGCTTCATTTTTTAGGAATCCACAACTGGGCAGAAGGCAATAGGAGAAGACAATATAGGTATCAGCACTACCCAAGACCGTAATATCCTCTATATGCTCAACATTACAGCAGACAAGACCAACTCCAACAGAAGAGGCTGAGGCAGAATTCAATGATGCCCTTCTTCTACGAACTCACAACAGTTGCAGCAGTCCAGTTAGCAAATTTGAATATCAGTTTGAGGGTCGTAAGAGCCTCTCACCTATTCCAGCGGCATCATCACAAGAAAACTTGTTCCATCATTGACGGTTACCCTTCTTCAACAACTGGCAATGTATAACCTCTGACAGATGGGTCCTCCAGGTAATTGAGAGAGGCTATCTTATTCAGTTGGTGTCTACCCTGTTTACACCCCACTTCACAGTCCTCCTACAGGGACCACTCTCACTGGATTCTACTTCAAAAGAGGTAGAGCATCTCTTGGACATAGATGCGATTGAACCAGTTTCGAAACAATTTAGGGGCAAAGGGTTTTACTCCCATTACTACTTCCTGATGGAAAAAAGATCAGAAGGTTGGAAACCCATCTTAGACCTCTGGGCACTCAACAAATTCGTTCAGAAAGAAAAATTCAAGATGGTAACATTTGCCACTATATTACTGGTGATGGAACAAGGTGATTGATGTTAGTCTCTCGACTTGCAAGTTGCATACTTGAATATTTCCATCCACCCTGCTCACTTAAGTTTTCTTTATTTAAGATCATTTCTTCTTAAGATCTTCATTTCTTTGTAGATTCTCAACACTACCAATACAAGGTACTTTCATTCGGATTCTCTATGGCCCGAGGATCTTTCCAAAGGTTCTGAGCATATCTGAGAGAGCAAAGCATCATCATATTTCCTTTCCTGAACAACTGCTGCCTCAAAGCACGCTCACACATTTCGTGACGATCATTGTCAATCACAATACACCTATTCTGACACCTCACCCTGCAAGTGAATGATGCCAAATCAACGCCATCTCCTACACAAAAGATACAATTTATAGGGAACATGCCTTGACTAAACAAGGGCTACCACATTCCTCTCTACAGACAGTTTACAAAAAATTTTGGCCTTGGTGAAAACCTTATGATCCAGTTTCCACACATCCGCATTCAAATGCCTTTGGCTGTTGGGGCACATGACAGCGTACTGTTTCGTTGTCAACAATACTTGCCTTCACATGAAATGTTTACAGAGCTGGCTGGGGCACGTTTACAGACCTATTACCCAAATCCCTAGATCTCCTAGTGGTAGTAAAGGAATCCCTACAGTGGTGGTTGAATCCACAGAACCTTTGTTCCGGAGTTCCCTTCCACCCACCAGAACCATCTGTCTCTATGACAACAGATGCATCTCATACAGGATGGGGCGCGCACCCATGACATCACACATCCCAGGGTCTGTGGTCCAGCAGCGATAAGAACCTACATATAAACATTCTGGAACTCCATGCGGTCAGGAATGCATGACCAAATTCCTCTCGTTCACTGCCAACAGTCACGTAAGACTGTACGTAGACAATGTTGCAGCAATGTTTTATATAAAATGTCAAGGCGGAGCACGATCTCGAGCACTTTGCACAGAGGCCATAGCACTTTGGAACTGGTGCCTGAAATACAACATAAATATTATTGTGGTGCACCTTCCAAGCACCCTGAGCGCAATGGCAGAGGCATTCAGCAGAACCCTTCCGACCGAACGTGAGTGGCCACACGCATTGGCAGACATTTTCCGACAGTGGGGTCACCCCACCATAGATCTATTTGTCACGCAATCCAACAAGAAATGTTGCCTATTCTGTACCAGGGCAAGCATCAGCAAGGGATCAGTGGGAGATGCCTTCCTCATCAGCTGGTCATTCCATCTAACAAACGCGTTTCCTCCTATAACCCTATTGAATAAGGTAGTCCACAAGACAAGGAGAGACAAAGCCCACCTAATACTTATAGTCCCAGCATGGCTACTCCAACCATGGTTCCCCTTTTAAAGGCGATGCCCCGTGCGTCACCGATCCATTTACCTTACAGCAAGGATCTCCTTCATCCGGGCCCTCACGCCACCCAACCCACCCTAACCTCCACTCACTACACCTAAATGCGTGGCTTCTGGATGGTTCTCTGAGCTAGAATTGACTTGCTCAGAACAAGTACAAACAGTCCTTCTACGCAGTAGGGCACAGAACTACTTCAGACTTACTTTCAGAAATGGAAGAGATTCTCAACGTGGTATGTGCGCCACCAACTAGCACATTCAACATCTTCCTTAACTACTATCCTTGATTACCTTCTGCATCTTAAACAGGCCTCACAGTAAGTTTCATTAAAATTCATCTTGTTGCTATTACTGCCTTCCACTCTAAGATAGATGACTCATCCATATTTGCACGTCCACTCATTAAGAGGTTTTTAAAGGGTTTTCAGGCACTTTATCTGGACATCAATCCACCAACACCACTGTGGGACCTGAATTTAGTACTGAACGCTTTAACTCGGCCACCTTTTGAATCAATGGCCACCAGCTCACTATTACATTTATCCATTAAAACTGTTTTCCTCATATCCATTACTTTGGCGAGATGGGTGGGAGAGGTCGCAGCCCTAATGTCTGATCACCCATGCACCACCATTTTTAAAGACAAGGTCATTTTATGTACCTATCCCAAATTCCTTCCTAAGGTATACTTATCCTTCCACCTCAATCAGACAATACACCTTCCCACCTTCTTCCCCCAATCGACAATGCCAGTTCCTTCGAGATGAAAATGCACACCTTGACCTGCGCAGAGTGCTTTCTTTTTACCTGCAACAAACTAAACTTTTTGAGCATCTCCAAGACTGTTCGTGTTGATAGCAAACCACAATAAGGGCCAGGATGTCTCATCGCAGTGGCTTTCCCACTGGATTTCAGATTGGGAACAACAGAGCTTGATACAATCAGAGGTGCCCCCCTCCAGACAGAATAATGGCACACTCATCCAGAGCCATGGCTACCCCTCAATACCATTCCTCCGCAGAGTACCTACAAGAGACATTTGCACAGCTGCTACATGGTTGTCTGACCACAAATTTGCAAAGCACTATGCACTTATCCAGTGTCCTCTCTCCAATCTGAAACTTGCTAAGGCAGTCCTTTCCATTGCATTTCTGCAAGATCCAAAGCCCCTACCTCCCTAACAAGAAATAGCTTTGTAGTCACCCAGTGTGGCACACCCATGGGGACATCTTTCTCTCTCTCGAAGAGGTTACTCACCTTGATAATAAGTGATGTTTTCGAGATGTTTGTGCCTGCGGGTACTCCACAACCCACCCTCCCTCCTCTCTATTTCATGATTCTGGCCTTCTCATAGGCATTGTTCTGGGGTAGAGAAGGAACTGGGGGGATGGAGGGCTTGTGCATGTGCAATGCCTGCCATGTAAGAGCACGTGACTGCACACACATGCATGGTCCCCGGGAACACTGCTCTGAAATCTCCAATCTAAGGCATGACGGCGGTGCACCAACCTAATGTGAAGCACTTATGGGGATACTCGTCTCGAACATCAGTTACTATCAGCGTGAGTAACCTTCTCTTATCCACCATGTTCTCTAAGTTCCTTTGGAGTTTCTGTTTTCCAGGGTGTAGTCCCCTCGTTTTCTGTAAGTCTAACCATTGTTCATTTTTCCTCAATGTATTACCTTGCATTTGGCTACATTAAAGTGTTCAAGTGAGTCCAGTTTATTTGATAATCCCAATCCCTTTATATTAATGACCCGTCCTTATTTATGACTTCATCAGTCTTTGCTTTATCTGCAAACTGTATCGGTAAAGATCCTGCATTTTCTTCCAGATCTCTGATAGATATTAAATAGCACTAAGACAAGAGCAGATTCAGGAAAGGCTACACTAGAAGTATCCCCAGTTGACGAGTCCTAATTAATTATTTTTTCAATTGTCAGCCAGTTTTTAATACAATTAATATGCACCACTTTGTTTAGTACTATTTTTAATCAAAATGCCATTTCACATAGTATCGCATGACTTGCAGAAGTCTTAAATATACTGTGTCAGCTGTTATCTTTATCACCCAAACCCCTAATCTCATCTAAAAAATATATAGTTTGCAAAACAGTATCAGGTTCATAACTTTATCCTTTCTTTCATCTTGAAATAATTCTTACCCTGTTTCTTATACCACAAGAGAAATGATGTTTTCTATTAAGAAACATTTTGTTAAATACAAAAATCTTATCTTTTTTTTTAATGCTTATTTGCTTTATAGTTATAAATTCAATTCTCTAGGTTCCAATCCTACAAATACACATATGCTTCATTTGATTTATGGAAATAATCCCACCAAAGTTAATAAGGCTGCTTGCTCATGTGCTTAAAGCATCTGCATAAAATATTTCCATGACTGGGGACTCCTATTATAGAGTGTGGACATGGATACTTATTTATAAAACTACATTAGTTCTACATTTGAGATGTAGGCAAATAGTCAACTACCCATTGCACCCCACCCCTTGCTGCCTCTGTATCAGACGCAGCAAGCGGGTGGGGAAGCAGCAGGCGGTTCCACCAGCACCATCTCCATGGTGCCGTCTGCCCTCTCCCCTGCACTGCTGCGGTGGACAGAGGCTGCTCCAGATACCACAAGCAGTCTCTGTCCGCGGCAAGCTTGGGCCCACTGTGGGCAGCAGCCCCTGTTTGCTGCGGCCCAGGCCACAGCAGGGGTATGTCCCGGATCCAGTGCGAGCTTGGATTGAGCTGGGTTGCCTTCCTGTATCAACTAATCAAGTAGCTGATAGAATTTTTGACTACTCAATTAGCCAGTTAACTGCATCTTATCCCTATTAAACATAAGATTTCATGATTACAAATACTATTAGCATTCCTATCAGGAATATAATTGTAGTGGGGTTAAATGTTTATCCTCAGACTATTTTTGGTTATTGCTGTGTTCCTTGAGTTTTTGATCGATTATTCTAAGCAAAGCAAGTAAATGCATCTTTCTTTTTAGATGAATTAGCACTGGAAGATGCCCTTGAACATCATGAAGGTAGTGTACGAGAAGACGTCTTTTTATATCACGTGGTTAAAAAGTTGTATTTCACTGGGGGGAGAGTATCATTTCTTCTTAGAGTTTAAGGACTCCATCAACTTTTTCAGTATTTAAATTTATATTATCGTGTCCATCCATGAACATTGTATAACTGTTACCTTTAGTGAACATATTGATCATGATAAATTTGGCTTGTTCTGCCATTTTAATATTTCACCTTCTTCTTTTTTGTAAAACTAGACCCTCCTTTCACCTCACATCCCTTTCCTCAATGAGAGAGCCTGGAAAACATAAACTAAATATATTGGTCTGGATGCTAATCAGTTGATGCTTAACATCAGCAACATATTAGAACCGCTATGTAATAAATAGACAATTCTTAAAATTCTAATCTGCCTGACAGCAGAATAATAAAGCCTTTCAGACAATTAGTCATTCCTCTCCAAAGACTTGAAAGAAAAAAATGGCTCTTAAATTATGTATAAATCTATTCTGCATATCAACGATGATTGTTCTGAGTATTTATCTCTGCTTGGATCAGTGTCCTGAAATGTAACTTTTTCATCTTATCTGGTTGAATGAGAGAACCCTTTTTGAACATTCATAGAGCTCTTGATTTATTTATTTTTAATGGGACATTAATCCAGTTATGATTGCTCCATGTGCGGACTTCCCCCTGATTTTAGTAAAGGCTCTGTGCATTTAGAGCTGCTGCATAGACAGGCCCCAGAACTTTTATTGGGAAATACACTGCATACACTTCATTGATTAGATGCATTCCAATTCTGTCATCTATGTTTATCACATGAGATCTATGTTATGTTTTAGAATGCTTTGCTAAATCAGATCCCCTCCGAACTTTTGATTGATATTAGTTTCTTTTGGTTTTTAGAATCAAAATATGGAGAAGAGCCTGAGACTCAAGATACAGGTAGAGATAATACTATTATTTTGGATACCTGGGAAGATATTTTGGTTCATAAACATGTGATTAAAGTGATGTTAAACTGTAAATACCAATTAAACATTATAATATTTTAGTTTAAATTAAGAATAATTAAGCATTAAACTTTAGATACTACTTAGTTAATGCTACCCAAACAACTTCAATTTCAACCTACAATCCAGGTGTATTATTGTGTGGAATCTGAGTTATGTCAGAAAGTTGCAAATAACCTCAATCAGAATATAATTTGGGTGGTGGAAAAGATGGATTATTCTCTTCAGCTAATGGTTGGGATAATGAGACTTTACTTATGAACAATATTTTGAGGGCTAAGAGATGAAGCATGTTTTTTAAGATAATAGCCTCAAAGGGTTCTTATCCTTCAGGTCTCATCACTAAGAGACAGGTTGGGAACTTCAGTAACTCAAAGCTTCTTGGAGGGCTTGCTCTGGCAGCTGTTTTGTGGTAGTTTAGCACCACTCCCTTCCACTTACTGGTTTTGTGCTGCCTGCTACCATTACCTTAGCCCTAAAACCTTCCAAGCCATTGCTTATTGACAGCAGTCAGGTAAGGAGCTACAGAACGTTCAATCAAAACCATTTGGAGCTGCCACTAGTTGCTCTGCTTTGACCCATTAATCCTGCTTTCACCAGTAGAGGCCCTTCATTGGTCTCTGTACCCTCTTGGCAGCATCAATAAGTTTATTTTTTTGGGACTCAGTGTGCTATATTCAGGAATATGAGGCTTCTTTTAGGCCTTTCCACATGAAAAGAGGTGGTTGAAAAGATTCTGTTTAGATTTTGAAGATGGCAAATTAAGAATAGCCACAATGAAAGTACAGGAAGTCCCCGGGTTACATCAATCCGACTTACGTCGGCTCCCTAGTTACAAACGAATAAGTTTATTTTTTTGGGACTCAGTGTGCTATATTCAGGAATATGAGGCTTCTTTTAGGCCTTTCCACATGAAAAGAGGTGGTTGAAAAGATTCTGTTTAGATTTTGAAGATGGCAAATTAAGAATAGCCACAATGAAAGTACAGGAAGTCCCCGGGTTACATCAATCCGACTTACGTCGGCTCCCTAGTTACAAACG